TCCTTGTTAGCGATACACTCTTGGAGGTAGCACTCGGCCACACCCTCGGCCTTCTTCCTCTCCCACTTCACCTTAAAGCCTTCGAGCACCTACATGAACTTCCGAGACATCTCCTTCTGGGCCTCATGGTTGGCTTGACTAACAGCACCCTCATGCTCGCGGATCTGATGGAGGTTCTCCTCCCTCGCGTCGGAGGCTTCGTTGAGAGCTTGCACCGCCTCGGCATGTGCTTCGAAGAGCTGGTGGCGGCCTTGAACTTCTCACCCCTGTCGACCAGCTCGTTATCGAGTTCGGTGATATGACCCTGCTGGCCTATGAACTGCTTTAGAAGGTTAGTCTGGCGAGCGACCTGCGCATTCGCGGCCTCAAGGTCAGATTTCAGCTTACCGACTACCCTCCCCATCTCCTCAATCTCTCTTGGACGAGGGACATCCCGCAGCCTTTGCTTAAGACGAGCATAGAGCCGGTTGCCAGCCTCCTCAGCCTGCAAACATTAACGACTAGAACGGTAAGGCAAATGACACTTAGCCAAAATTGCAAAAAAAAGGGAGACATTCTTCTCCTTTCCCTGGGCCGACGCCATCTCCACATAAAGCTCTCTCTCGGTTATCTTCTTGAGAGCAGGAAGTTAGCACCCAGTGGGCTTAAAATGACGCCACATGGCCGCCATGCCCTCTGAATCATCCGTGATCGGTTGATCCTTGGTCTGCTCAAACTTCCAGTGGAACGGCCGACTGCTCGTCGAGCCACCACTCCCGTTAGACGCCGTCGGACGCGCCTCCATGACCCGAATACCCTCTTCGCCTCTCGGTCTCTTCGGGACGGCTGGGACGAGTGTTTGGGCTCTTTTTTGTTAGTGGAGCACTGAGTCTTGCCCGAGCTCACGGAGATCGCCCCCACCAATCAAGGAGGGGGGTCAGCCTGTGGGTTCATCATCTGCTCAACCTCCTCGTCGCAAAGTTGAGGCTTGGGGGCAGCAGTCAAGGCGAGCGCGGCTTCGAGGGCCTCCTTGACACTCCATAGCGGACTCTCGAATTGCTAGGGCCAGCTGGGGCCTTCCCGGCTCTTTGACGAAAAGTCGGCTTGTGAGACATGGCGGAGGACGAGGTGGCTGCTGAGCAAGAAGCTGGAAGAGATCGGAGAGGTAGAACTCCAGCTGCCAGCAAAAAACAACTTCGTAGCAATAGCTCGATAGAAAGCTTTCCAGGTGCAACAACCGGAGCCGGAACGAGTGAAGTGAGAACTCGTCAAACTCGTTCTAGCGTGAACATGCTCCTGATGGCTTCTCCTCGCCTGAATAATTCCAGCCGGTGCTCGATGTCGGGATCCCTTGATGCTCTAGATAGCTGACCTAATAGACAAAAACAAACAAAAGTCAGAACGCCAGTCGAGCAAAACAAGACAAGTATAGCTATCAAACATATAAGCCTAGCTAAACAACCGCTGCCCGGAAACTCAGTCGGCAGCCGGGTGAAGTCAAAGCTTCCAACGGATGCCTCGTTGACTTTAAACTTGAACCCCGTCTTCTTCCATCCAGAGTCCTTCTCCGGGCTCTCCTCGATAAACCACCGATTTGACCTCAAGGACGCATAAAAAGTCCGTGGACGACGAGCGTTTTACTTGACGGAGAAGAACGCCCTCAGATCAGAGAAACGGAAGCTAACAGCCTCCTCTCGTGCCCTTACGCCGCACCCTATGATGGCCCGAACCAGGTTCGAGCACATCTGCGGGAAGGCCATCCGCAGGTCGGCGAGCACCTCCAGGATAAACCGGGGGGTTGGGAAAAATAACCTGCACTCCCGGAAGTACGTCGCGTACGCATAACAGAAACCCGGCTCAACGTTCGCAGGGGTCTCCGTTGGCGCGAAAACCGCCAGCTCTACATCGTCGGGAATCTCACATTCCCGACGAATGTCGTCCAAGACCTTCTGCTCATTTATTTTTGACGAACCTGGGGCAATAGAGTCCTTCGCGCCTCCTTCGACCTTTACGATTTTTGACATCGAAAGACGAAATATCGGGGGAGGAGGAGAGATGAAACTTTCGATCCAACGAAAACAAGCAAAAATCCAAAAAGATTTTCGATCACCAGAAAACCTCTCTTTCTTGAGTTTTGACACATGACTAATTGGTGTTTTATGTTCAATCACCCTTGTGTTAGTCAGTTGTAGTAAGGGTTTTATGTCAATCCATTGGGAAGAGTTGAAAACAGAAGAGTTGGGAGTAGAGTCTCTAAGTCAAGCAGGCAGAGAATTGATTTTGTTGCCTAAGCAACAGTTCTAGCAACCTAAGTGAAACAAGCAGCAACCAAAGTAAAAGCAGAAGCAAACTAAGCAATTCTAAGCAAGGAAAACATAGTAAAACAGAGCAAATCCGAAATTCAAATAAGAGAAAGGCAAGTCTCTAGATGTGGTTATTGACTTTGGGGGATTTCAGACATTAACTAAGGCTGTTTCAAACTACATTGATCAAGCAAACAAGCAAGCAATTGTGATTCCTAGACATAGAGTTCACACTTAAGCTAGTTAGATCCAATCTCTTGGCAAATAACCCTTTGCTAAACATTCTAACAAGAACTAACTCTCATTAGTGCTAAAACATCAAGCAAACATGATTAAACAACTCTATTCAAGTCAAAATGCTCCTCAAACAGTCAATCTCTTGAGTCAATGCCAGCAAATCCTCTATTAAACATGATCAGCATTTCATCAAACACTTGGTGGGCATAAGAGAAAGTTAACAACTTAGACAAGTTTGATCAAGACTAATCTAGCATGAATAATCGATTAATAGAGAGGAACCCATAAACTGAAGCACTTAACAAACCTTAATCAAGCCGTAAATCCCCTAAATCTACCACATCTAGAAACCCTAAGATAACTACTCACTCATAATCAAATTTAACACCAAATCACAAAGGGAAAAGATGCTAATCATGATTAAAAGAAAGATTAAAGAAAGATTAAAGCAAATACTTGATTATATTAAACAAAGCAAAGAAAATGTCTTACAAACTTAATGAAAAAACTCAAGAACAGTAAAACGACATGACCCCTCGAAAATCTGGAAAAAGAGGTTATTTATAGTCTAGAGGAGAAAACCCTAGAGTAATGGCATAAATGTAATTAAAAACAGGTTCGGGCTGGGTCAGTATCGGTCAGTTGTGTCGGTCTTCAGTGACCGAAATGGGTCCCTATCGGTCTGGAGTGATCGACACATATGACCGAAATTAGTCCGATGTGTTTGTGTCGATCACACTTGACCGATACTGGTGACCGATATGCTCTGTATCGGTCACCCTTGACCGAAACTCTCTGTGCTCTAACCGAAAACTTCTGCGGAGATCTTCTGCTGTGATCCTTCTTGCTCCCTTTTGCCCAGCTAGCATCTTGTATCATTTCCAAAACTCTTCCAAGCTCCTTTAAGCTCCAAAAGCACCTAAAAACATCCAAAATGCAAAAAAATGCAAACTATACTCTAAATGCAACCTAAGTCTAAAAGGAGAAGAAAATGGGACAAACGCAAAGAGAAAACATGTAAAAGAGGATCAAAATATGTACTAAATGCAGCTCTAAATGGTGTAAATACAATGGATATCAAGTTTCAAAAGAAAAAGGCAACGAACAGAAGTTGCAGTAAACTAAAAAAGAAAGAAAAGTGAGGAAGTTACCTTTAATCGACGAACATATGCGGTTAGAAGAAGGAGTGGAGAAAGTGGACTTTATATCTATGTAATTATTGCTCACCTCGTAGACCGCAGAGAATCTGGCCACGCGCCAATCTCTACCGTTCTATCTCAAAATCTCAACCGTCGGATATTCGGTTCGATGAATCTGGTGTGCTGCAGAGCTCGATTGATCGTGGTCGTCTAATCTTCTCCCCCCTCTTTGATCCGGGCCATCCATATCGAGAAGACAACTCCGCGAATCTTCAACTGCACTTGCCCCAGGAAGCTCGACCGCCAAAAATTAAAGTAAATAAAAATATTTACTCCAAATCCCAACCGTCCACCTCGATGAGATAATAACAAACTTATCTCAACAATAAAGCTGCGGCTTCGAGGTCGATTCTCGACCGTACGATCAATGGACTGTTCACCTTTTCAGGACCTGAACTGTTGATCTCGAATGATTAGCTGACATCATGAGGTCATCACGACAAATACGAAATCTTTCAAAAGTCACATCTTGCAGCCCATTAAAGCTCGAGCTCGCTCTCGTTAATGGGCTGGGGGGCAATTATTCGAGCTGGATTTCACACCCTAAATCAGGTCCACTCAAGCCCAACAAGTAGATCCAAACTAAGCACAAATTAGCTGGGCTTTGACCATAATGTCCAGACCCATTTCCTTGTAACGATCCAAATTCGAACAATCAAACGATCCATTCGACGAAGTCGAGCTCTATCTCGACGAAATCCCAAAAAACAAGGATTCGAGCCAAGTTAGAGCATATCCTTGCCAGTTCAAACGAGCCCAAAATTCGCGGAGGAAGCTACTGCACGTGGCTGATACATGCGCTGGAGGTTGAAGCTCGACGATGCGAGCTATATAAAAGACACATACTGCTTAGTTCGGGGGACCTTCAGCTTGATCTTCTTCTATATTTTTTACACACGAAAACTATGTAACTGCTCTTCGAGCTCTTTTCCCTGTAACCGTTTCATTCAACAAATTAATATCAAATCCATATTTTAATTAGTACTAGCTTATACTGTCAATCTGTTCGAGAGAATCTAGCCTTTAATTCTCCTAAAATTTTTCTCTTACAAAACACATAAATTTCCGAACGTAGATTTCTATATCAACCGTAAACATTTTGTAATTTACTCTCTCTCCTGCTGTTGTATACTAATTATACCGATCGTATATACTAGTCAACCACTCTATTACTCTAAGCTGTACAAATAATTAACTTAACCGGTCTAATACAATACCGTCTTATCGGTTTACTTGTAATTTGTAAAACCCAAGTTGCGTCATGCATGCTATTGTATTCTTTTTTTTTTATATTAATTTTCAACTAAGAAAAATCTTTGTTTAGCAGAAGAAAAAGCCAAGCTTCCGTCGTTGGCTAAATGGCTGGTTGCCAACTCGATCATCTTCTTCTACCCACCGCCACGATCAACGTTTCCTTCTTCTCAACCTTATCATCCTCAGCCCTCCGACTCTGATCTCTAGCCTCCAACCTCAGATCTGTCCTAAATTCTCCCAAACATTCCGGCTTGGTGATCTGGAACCGCCGTAAAGATATTTAGGTTTTTCTGAGGTCACGATGGCGGCGAAGACGGCCAGATCAAAATCCACACCGACGAAAGAAAACGGTGTCAGAGTCGAGGAAGGCCTGAGTCTGTTCAAGTCTGATAAGTTCGATGCTGATGCTTATGTGCAATCCAAATGTTCTATCAACGAGAAGGTTTTTATTTTATTTTTCTTCTTTAATCATTTCATGTCTTTCCCCGTTAATCTGCAGTATCAGTAGTGAGATTTCGGATTACTGGTGAGTTTAGGAAATCGTAATAATAAAATGGATAATAGGTACTAGATTGTGTAAGCTCGATAAGATGATTATCGATGTAACATGCTCTTGCTTGTATGTATGTTCTTCTGATCTGTTGGGAAGTTGAAAGAAGTATGCGAATTATGATTATGCGAAAATTCTGATAGGTTTTAGCTTGTAAAATGGTGTTCAGTGTATAGTGTTTAGCTCATGTGAATACACACATGATTATATTTGTATCAGAGACAGAATCTGTTTTGTTCGTTTACTGTTTTTAGAAAAGAATCACGGTATTGGTCTTAAAGAGTATCTCGTCTGTTTAGTCCTTTCCTGTGATGCTGTGGAAGATTTGAGGGATAGGTTGGTTTTAGGCCTTGTCTAGCTAACTACAAAAGGAGTAGTATAGTATTCAATTTGGTTGATATAGACTTTTAGATTACGAAGCCGGAGCCTTTTATTTTTCTTAGTTATGCTGGGATGATGACTTATCTGTTCTGTTTGCAGGATATAAAGCAGTTATGCTCTTATCTATTGGATTTGAAGAGAGCTTCTGCTGAAGAAATGCGGCGAAGTGTTTATGCTAATTATCCGGCCTTTATACGGTTAGATGATATCCTGATTGTGGTTGGTTTTGTCTTTTAAATTGATGTCATCAAAGATCTCTGCTTTCTCAAACGTTATTCGTTTCTTATGGGTTTTGGTGCATGTGCATTTTGTATATGCCTTCTCCTGACAATACCTGATTGTTTTTCTGTTAATTTGAGCATTGAAATATCTTCTGTTCTGTGCAGTACATCAAAAGAGATATCAGACTTGGAGGGGGAGCTATCATCTATCAGAAATCTTCTCTCCACTCAGGCTACTCTAATTCATGGCTTAGCAAATGGAGTTAACATTGATGACGATAAAGTATCTGATGGATCTCTCGCAAATGGTTCGTTGAATTTTGAAGACAATGACCTCTCTGATCTGGAGAAATGGGCTACAGAGTATCCTGACCAGCTTGATGCTTTATTAGCTGAAAGAAGGGTAGATGAAGCTCTGGCAGCTTTTGATGAGGGAGAAATTTTGATATCTCAAGCAAACGAAAAGCACACTTTCAGCTCTTCTGTGCTTTCATCTCTTCAGTATGCTATTGCCGAACGAAAGCAAAAATTGGCTGACCAACTTGCCAAAGCTGCTTGTCAACCATCAACTCGAGGTGGGGAACTTCGGTCAGCTATAGCAGCTCTCAAAAGGCTTGGCGATGGTCCTCGAGCACATACCGTGCTTCTTGATGCCCATTACCAGAGATATCAATACAACATGCAAACTCTTCGTCCATGTAGCACCTCATATGGAGGGGCATACACTGCTGCACTTTCTCAGCTTGTGTTCTCAGCTATCTCACAGGCTTCTAGTGACTCGTTGGGAATCTTTGGGAAAGAACCAGCATATAGTTCTGAGCTTGTGACTTGGGCTACCAAGCAGACAGAGGCGTTTTCCCTTCTTGTTAAAAGGCATGCATTAGCTTCTTCTGCAGCAGCAGGAGGACTAAGAGCCGCCGCAGAGTGTGCACAGATAGCTCTTGGGCATTGTTCTTTGTTGGAAGCTCGTGGTTTGGCCCTCGGCCCAGTGCTCTTAAAGCACTTCAAACCTATCGTGGAACAGGCATTGGAGGCAAATCTTAAGCGAATTGAAGAAAACACTGCAGCTATGGCTGCTGCAGATGATTGGGTGCTGACATACCCTCCGGCTGGTAGTCGTCATGCTAGTACAGCATTTCAGAATAAGCTTACATCCAGTGCCCACCGCTTTAATCTGATGGTCCAGGTAGGCAGTCTTGGGCAAACGCTTTTCTCATAAATTTGTAGCCTTTATTTTAAAGTTGGCTAGACAAAGTAACCTTATGGGGAAAATCCAGACATGCTAGGAAGTTGAAATATCTTTCACTCTTAGACGTCCAGTTTGTCACTCTTAGATATGAGAGCATCCCATGAAAGTTGCTTATAATATGAGTTTACACAACAGCTGCAAATTAAGTAGCCAATGTAGATGACGATTTTTAAGAACTTGCACTAGAGTATGGCAAGGTCTGAAACTGTTGCCAAACTGCACGTGCATCCCCATTAGAAATTTTTAATACACTCTATGGAGTACCAATTCTGTCTTAGCTGCTCTGATAGGCAAAGCACTGCCTAGTAGATTCTCATGAATTTTGGAGATATCTGTCAAGTAAGTTCTTTTGAAAATTGTATTTTGTTGCAGGACTTCTTTGAAGACGTAGGACCTCTTCTAAGTATGCAGTTGGGAAGTAAAGCGCTGGAAGGTCTGTTTCGAGTGTTCAACTCATATGTAGATGTGCTGATGAGAGCACTTCCTGGTTCAATCGAAGAAGAAGAGGCAAATTTTGAAGGTTTTGGTAATAAGATTGTCCAAATGGCTGAGACCGAGGCACATCAACTTGCATTACTTGCAAATGCATCATTGCTAGCGGATGAATTACTCCCACGTGCTGCCATGAAACTCGCTCCTCTTGATCAGACTAGTCACAGGACAGACGACCTAAGGAGACCTTCAGACAGACAAAATCGTAACCCTGAACAACGAGAATGGAAGAGGCGTTTACTTAGTACTGTTGACAAATTAAAAGATGCATTTTGTCGCCAGCATGCCTTAGATCTTATCTTTACCGATGAAGGAGATAGCCATTTGTCCGCAGATATGTACATAAACATGGATGGAAATGGCGATGATGTGGATTGGTTTCCATCTTCGATATTCCAGGTAGTTATGGTTTCAGCTCCATCAGTCCACTTAGCCTTTGTAAAGTAATGCAAAAACTCTTTGGGAACTCTTATGGGGTGATTCAATGTTGTCTTGTTGAATCTATGTTTTGTCATGGTTTATCTGATCACTTCAAGAACATTTATTTTTAGCCTAATATTCTTATGCTTTGGGTGTTGCATCGTTGGAAAACAGGAACTTTTTGGCAAGCTTAACAGGATGGCAAGCCTAGCAGCAGATATGTTTGTAGGAAGAGAAAGATTTGCCACATCTTTGTTGATGCGATTAACAGAGACTGTGATCTTATGGCTTTCTGGAGACCAGAGCTTTTGGGATGACATTGAGGAAGGTCCTAGACCTTTGGGACCTCTCGGCCTACGTCAGGTTTGTAAACTCGTTCTAGCTTTTGTCGAAGTATATGTTGCAAGCATCGGAGCCGTTGTGTGCCAATTCTGACAACCTGTATCTGTCACAGCTATATTTGGACATGAAGTTTGTCATATGCTTTGCCTCCCAAGGTCGCTACCTATCCAGGAATTTGCACAGGGGAACTAATGAGATAATATCTAAAGCCTTAGCAGCTTTCACTGCAACAGGACTGGATCCGTATAGGTATGTCGGTGTTTTGGGGGTATTTTACTACGTTTTAGCTTTTAAGGTAGTTTAAATGAATAAACGCGGTTTTGAATAATGTGCAGTGAGCTGCCAGAAGACGACTGGTTCAACGAGATATGTGTCGATGCGATGGAAAGACTGAGCGGTAAGGCGAAAGGAAACAATGGGGAAGTCCACAGCCCGACTGCTTCAGTTTCAGCTCAGTCTGTTTCATCAGCAAGATCTCATGGCAGTTATTGAACCAACCGCATCTTGCATTTGTAAAGAAGGTGAGCGGGGTTAATAACTTTTGATCTTCTCTTTCTCAGCTCTGTTTTCCATGAGCCTTTTTTCTTTTGTAGAGTCTCCAATTATTGATGGGATGATTGTGGGGGTTTGTAAATGTGGTTGACTTGAATTTTTCTTTTATTGGTCGTCTCTTATCACTCTATGAATGCATTCTTTGGGTTAAGAAGTGAAGAGAATGTTTGATCTTTATTCCCTATGTTACACTCTGTATCTCTTTTGGTAATGGATTTGATGTGGCTTAGTTGAAGTCTTGAAGATATCTTAAACTTCTCTCTTTTCTAATATTAGATAAATCTTAAAGTAGCTGGTTTTTTAAGGAGAGGGAGAGACTAGGTTTTTGTTCATGGTTTTGGCTACATTGAGAACAGAAGAATTGCAATTGTAAGAGCAAACAAAATTCCCGATGGAATTTCTTAATAAAAAAAACTTCATTAATCTTGGAACCATGGAATGACAGTTTATTAGAGTGGTCACTTGATTTGTTGAATCATACAAGCTGCATAAATTTTTATGATTTTGTATATTTAGTTATGCGATTAGTAAAAATCTTGCGGTCGTAAAACCAAGTTATCACAGTTTTCGGTTATTTTGTACTATATATATTGGATGATATTTCGGTTATTTTGTGGTCCACTGATCAAAGATATACATAAATTAATATTGAATAAATTTAATAAATTAATAATTTTATTTAGTTTTAAATTAGATTAGTTCAAATTTAACATAATTAATAAAATAATAATTTTTATTTGTAATTTTATGTAAAATATAGTCTTATTAATATTGTAAATTAATAATATCATATAAAAAACTATACAAATATAGTTAACTAAGATAATTTACTAAAATATAAATTTAATTGTAGTTACAGAAATTTACATTCACAAATTTATGTATTTTTATAAGGAAATGATTTTAGGAGAATTAAGGATTAAATTTTTGTGGATACAAAAATCCGCACTCAGAAATTTATGTGTTTTGTAAGGAAATGACTTAAAAAAAATAAAGGGTTAGATTCTCTCGAACAGATTGACAGTATAAACAAGCACTAATTGAAATAAGGACTTGATATTAATTGGGTGAATTAAACAGTTATATAATTACTCTGAAAGAGATGAAAATGAAAAGAGCTCAAAGAGCGGCTACATAGTTTTCAAGTATCAAAAAGTGTAGAAGAATATCAACCAAAGGTCCCTCTAAACTAAGCCGTTTGCCTCTTTTATATATTTTGCCATGTCGAGGTCCAACCTCCAGCGCGTATCTCGGCCATGTACAGCAACCTCTCCCAGAAATCTCGGGCTTGTTTGAACTGGCAGGAATATGCTCCGACTTGGTTTAGATCCTTCCTTGTTTCTCGGGATTTGGTCGAGCTAGAGCTCGGCCTATTCAAACAGAATGCTGATGTTCGGGCTTGGATCATTGCAAAGATCGGACTTGGGCTGTATGAATGAAGCCCAACCAATTTTTGCTTAGTTTAGATCTGCCTGTTGGGCTTGAGTAGGCCGGATTTATTGTGCGAAATCCAGCTCCAACAATTGCCCCCAGCCCATTAACGAGAACGAGTTCGAGCTTTAATGGGCGGCAAGATGTCACTTTGAAAGATTTTGTATCTAACACGCTGACGTCATGGTGTCAGATAATCATGCGAGATCAACGGTTCGGACTTGGAAAGATGAAAGGTCCGGTAGATCGTACGGTCAAGGGTCGACCTCAAAATTGCAGCTCGAATGATGAGATAAGTTTGTTATTATCTCGTCCAGGTGGACGATTGAGATTCCGAGTAAATATTGTCATTTACGTTAATTTTGGCGATCGAGCTTCCAGAGCAAGTGCAGTTCTCGAGAAGATCCGCATGGATACTTTTTCGACGTGGATGGTCCAGATCGAGAGAGAGAAAGATGATCCAATGACCCTGATTAAGCGAGCTCTGCAGCACGTCAAACCTGCAGAGTCAAATATTCAACAGTTGAGATCTTGAAATCGAACGGTTGAGATTGATGCGGAGTGAGATTTTTTGTGATCTTCGAGGTGGGTAATTATTACTGAGATATAAAATCCACCTTCCCCACTTTCTCTTTAACCGCATCCTCTCTGACGATTAAAGATAGTTTCTTCTTCCCTGTTCTCTTTTATTTTCTGCAACTTGTTGTTCGTCGCTTCTGTCGAGAAAGAAATATTTTTGTGATCGGAGATCCTTTCGGTTTTTGCCTGACTGCTCGATTTTTCTCGTTTAGAACAAATGTTTTGGTTTTCTCGGTTTTTTCTGGGTTTTAGGTTCTCTCGTTGAGTCTTTCGTCTTCGTTTACCCCCCTTTTTTTAAAGAATCTTCGACATCTTTTTAGTTTTCTGATGTCGACGATCGTCAAAGCCGGAGGAGGAGGGTCCGGGAAAAATGTTGGAGTTCCGGGCACGTCAAAGCTGAACGGCCAGAAGGCTCTCGACGACTTTTGTCGAGAGTGCGAGATCCCTAGCGGGGTGGAGTTGGCGGTTTTGACATCGACGGTGACTCCGACTGACGTCGAGCCGGGGTTCTGTTACGCATATGCAACGTATTTCCGATCCCGCGGTTTGTTCTAGAGGTGCTTGCTGACCTGCGGATGGCCTTCCCGCAGATGTTCCCGAACTTGGTTCGGGCCATCATAGATTGCACTGTATGGGCTCGAGAGAAGGCCGTCAGTTTCTGCTTCTCAGAGGTGAGGGCATTCTCCTCCGTCAAATACAACGCTTGCCGTCCCAGAACTTTTTATGCGTCGCCGAGGTCAAACCGACAGTTTATCGAAGAGAGCCTAGAGAAGGACTCCGGGTTGGAGAGAACCGGGTTCAAGTTCTGAGTCAACGAACCATCTATCGGGAACTTCGATTTCTCTCGGCTGCCGGTCGAGTTCGCAGGCAGTGGTTGTTTAGCTAGGCTTACGTATTTGCTAGCTAGAGCTCGTTTCTTTTGCTTGGCTGTTTTCATGATGATTTTTTCTATTATATTTTTTTTGTTTATCAGGCCAGCTATCCAGAGCACCAAGAGATCCAGACGTAGAGCACTGATTAGGACTGTTTCGGCGAGGTGACTTTGTCTGGAGCACGTTCACGCGAGAACAAGTCCGACGAGTCCTTACTTCTCCCATCCCAGCTCCGGTTATTCTATCTGGTAAGTTTTTCCTCGAGCTAGAGTTACGAGATTTTGCTTAGCGAATCTTGGTGTTGATGAAATGGTATAGTCCCAAGTGGCATTTTGTAGGCAGTCCTGTAAGCCCACAACGCATCATCCAATTTCACTGACCAATCCTTCCTATCTGCTTGATCTGTTTGTTGGAAACTTGATAACTAGTTTCTTTGCAAGGGTGAGTATGCAATGAAGCTATCAAAACTCAAATGCAAGACAGGTTGTAGCACAGTATGCAAGAGAGAGTCAATCTACACCTAGGATGATAGAAAGAGCAAAGAGAATGCAAGGGCTTTGCAAATCTAAGCGAATAAAGATCAGTTTTGAGAAAATCCCTAAAAACTAGATGCAACAACTAAATGGAATACAAAACTATTTTAATATTACCAGGAATGATCAAACTACCATAAGGAACAAACAGAATAATTAAAGAACAAAGCTATGAATTACTAAAATTCGACTAGTGGATCGACAAAAGGATCGACCACTAGATCGAGCAACAACGATCGATCTCGTCTAAAAATGTAAGAACAGCGAAACTAACAACCAGGATTCTATCAAAGATCAAACGAAAGACGAGAGAGGATGTAAAGATGCTAAGAAAGAGGGTCTAGGGTTGAGATTCATGGTCAGGGGTTTCAAAGGTCCGAACTTGGGTTGAAAACTTTAAATCGACTCACTTTGTGAGAATCTCTAAGCCTTGAAAATGAAATAAGATATATTCGTGGCTTTCGGTATAGATCACTCCTTCATCCTCTCCTCCAAACCCATGGCTTCTGGTGGAAAGAGAGGTTGAAGGTCAGGGAAAACAGATTTCAAACACATGGCTTAACTAGTCTCCCAAACTTCCATGGCTTTTGGAAAGGGGTAACTAGTCTCTAGGGTGCGATCTTCAGAGGTCCCTGAATCCTGTCAAGGTAAGAGACCTCTCGGATCATAAAGCTCTTGGCGTGAGAGTCTTTAAGCTTTAGGAACTCAACACCCTAGAAGAGATAGCCATTAAGCGCTAGAAAACTCCAAGATCGAAAACCTTTTTGACCCCTCGAATCCTCTCAACCCCTATCCCTAATGAAACTACTCACTACACATAAGATAAATCAAGCAAAACATGAAGAAAGAAACGATGAACATGAAAAGGAACCAGGTTAAACTTCAAACGATTCGAATACAAAGCAAGAAAAACTTCAAGTTTGACAATGGTGGATAATCTCCAAAACCAGAGAGAAAAGCATAAAAAGATAAGATTGAAAAGTTCTCTCTCTAAAGGGACATCGCCGCGTTCCCAAAATGGCGAAAACAACTCGATGGTCCCCCCCTCGCTAGCGGCCAAAAGCGGTTGAAAGGACAGAGATCAACTTCGGGATCGAGCGGCTCTCTCGATCATTTTCGGACATCGTGTCTTCGACTCGATCTGGGTCTCGATCATCTTCGGCGGATCGAGTGTTGCATCCGATCTTGGTATCGATCTTCGGTTGGATCGAGTGGTGGACTCGATCTGGCTCTCGCTCTGCATGGCGTCATTTACGTTCGATTGCTCCACTCGATCTTTATCTCTATCAGTTTCCTTGGATCACCTGGTCTTCTCGATCTTTTGGTCGATCTCATCTAGATCGACCTTCCACGAACTGCCATAACAGCTTCAGCACGTCCACGAACCTCCACGACTCCAAAGTGGCCAGAACAACCTGAATGTGATGCAAAATGCAAGGAGCATGCGTATGCTGGTGCGAGAATGCTCTAGGACCCTAAGTGATGCAATCTAGTCTAAAGCATGATGTAAATGCATGAAAAGCTAACTAATATGTATGCAAAATGTATGCAATGTGCAGTAACATCAACTCCCCCAAACTTACTTCTTGCTTGCCCTCAAGCAACAGAAAATAAGTAAGGAAGAGATGTTTTAAAAACGAATGGGGGTTTAAGCTTCTTGCAAAGGTGCCTTTCAAATGAATCAATCTGAATGTCCTAGTTAACAGTTCTAAAATGCTATGCACACACTCATACTCCAAAAAACTTAGCCATACTCATCACACAAAGAAATTCAGATCATGACTCTCCTATTCCTAACAATCAAAGAAACTCATCCTTTAACATTCATTAACATCTGAACCATGAATCAAACTTATGCACTTTAAAGCAAAACACATTTGG